CATTTGGTGGTACATAGTCATTACATACTGTTTTTATTTTTATGTGCAAACTGAAATAAACTGAAACCTGATTATCTCCCTGCAGGCTGTGAGTCCACACAGTATAAATAAGTTTTCCCCTCATTTATTGCTGCTTGTATTGTTCTCTCAAAACAACCTCCAAATTGTTATGGTTGACCATACTCGCCGAGCTTGGAGCCAGTGACAACAGGAAATGGCTTTCGTCCAGGTCTATAAAAACTGGTTGTCATGTGACCTGAGAGCGCTGTTTTCCGGCTGTCAGCCACAATAGCAGGCTCGGACGAGAATACAGGATTGATGGGGTCAGTGTACTCTAAGAAAACAACTTAATATGTAGTCTTGTATTCTACAGGCGCGGCGGAGGCCAGGGTATGAATGTTTACGTTGCCCTTGCCACAACTGAACTTGAAATGTCAGGAACAGTGGCTGAGCTCCAGAACAAGGCCACACCATTTAATTTCTTGGTTAACGGATTTCTCTAGAAAAATAATGGAGCGGGTGGGCGAAAAAAATAAATAAATAAAAACAGGCCTAGGACCACCTATTATGGCCCAAAATGATACGAAAGGAGCCATGAAGTCAACACACCAGGCTGGTTCAAAATTTAAACAATGAATTTTGAACTTTTAATGATACCGTTGCATTGAAAGATGGAATAACTGTAACAACTAGGATGAAAAGGACTGTTTTCAACTGTTCAGGGCAAAATATGAGCATTTTGCAGTTGATTCTGAATTTTTATTTTTATTTGCAAATCAGAAAAAAAAAGAAGCGGGCGAATCCGTTAACCATGAAATTAAATTGGTATGGCCTATGGGAGACGAATGAACAATGTCCTGACATATGGATGGGGTGAACAATGCTGACAACTGTTTGGATCATTTTGGTGGCGCATGACGACATTATCAATTCAACAGAAAACAAGAAAGGTGACATTTAAACCTGGCATATGACCTGTACATGTTATTTCAAATTTTCTCCTCTTCTATCACTTTGTAGAACAGAGTATGGCAGGCCTATAATGAGCAAGGTTAGAAAGGTTGACAAGCAAAGAAAGTTACATTAGGCCACAGCAAGTAATTTTTATGGATGACATCAGCGCGCGCATTAATTTTCGCCTGATTTTGGAAAAAAAAACAAGAAATTTTGTTGCCTTCTGACAGTGGTCAACATACCAAAAATGGGCAAAGATGTCTGCTGCCATGCCGGAACATGGATGGCAGATAACTATGAAGAGAGGAGACAAGAAAAGGCTCTGATTCAATGTTTTGTTTCTTACTTTGATGCAGTGATATGTGATGCTGCCTGTGTATATGTGATGATCCCACCGAATAAAAACCATTTGTACAATGATTGAGTCAAAATTCTAAAATGTACTAGGAACCTTGTTTTTTCGGCCTGCCTTGTTTTGTTTTCGCCCGCTCGCATTAGATTTGGAGTCTGCGGAGGATGTCATCCATAAAATTTACTTGCTGTGGCCTTAGGATTGTAATCTGTGATACTACAATGACAGCTAAGTTACTGCAAAAGGAAATGCCAACAAATTGCCTCTTATCAAGTTTTTTAATTCATCTTAAAAATAAGATGAAAAATGTTTTCATTGTTGATATCAATAGTAGAACTGGCTTGAAAGATTTGTCTGGTGTTTTGAAAGAGCATATAATTTTGTTGGTTTAATTTGGGGAAGTCAATAAATACAATGCATTGTGTAAAATTATATACCCAGGTGATGTTGACCAATCAGAAGTCACCGTTTCACCTTCTTGGTAATGATGCCGTAATGTCATGATACAAGTGGTGAAAAATTATCATAAGTGGTCTTTATTTCATAAGTGGTACTTTGATGTGACATAAAGGACCACTTGACCACTAACTACCCTCTACAAAGTTATCGATGAATAGACACAGTCCGCCCCACCTACTCAGTATTTTACTAACTACCAGGTCATCTGCCAATGAAGCTAGATATTCCCTAAGAAATGGAAACAGCTTTCTATGCAAATCCCCAAAAGCGTATTAGAATGCAGAAAGCCTTTTTCCACAGGTCTATCCAACTGTGGAACTCTCTTTCGCCTGACACACACTGACAGGCAGCCCCCTCATTGTCCCCCTAGAACCTCCTTGTTTAAAACTGAAGCCTGGACCTCCCTCAGAGATCCGTTTTCTGTGTATGTCAGGCCCTAGCACTTAGCAATCCTCTACTGTTAATAACAATTTTATTTGTGCAGGCTAACTTAATTGTCACAATCTTTGTGTATATTTATATATGTATATTGTATTGTATATAATCCTGTATAACTACAGTATTTATTTCTTGGGCTACCCCCTTGATAGTATAGCTACTATAGTTGGGCAGCCCTGGCTGTATTTGTGAGACCTGCACAAGCTATCTGCCTCAGCTATAAATCATTGACCAAAACATCAAAAACATGACATTCAGGGCTCAAAATACCCATGTTTAATGTGCAAAATGCACATGATTTTCAAGATTTGCGCTTTACAATTTTGAATGTGCAATTTTGCACCTAAAGCAGGGGGAGGGGGCATTGCAGGCAAAGAAGCAAAAATTACTTGGGATTTGGCGCTCCCAGCCCCAAGGACAGATAACACTTATAAGCTCCTATTCTGAAACATCAAGAGCTTCTTGGCTAATTTGCATCATCCTCGTCTTGACTTGTCAAACTTGTTTCCTTTTTGACTTCAGAAAAATTTGTCTTCACTTATTTGCATGTCAATCAACAGTTTGTGCTTATAAACCTGCCATTCTCCTGGTCTCTTAGTGTCACTGACTGTAGTGGATGCTACCTGAAACATCTGGGCCACTCTGACCATTTCCAAAATCTGATAACCAGTTGCTTGAGTAAATGTGTTTTGGCATATCTTATTACCTGGATGTCTAACCTTCATTTTGCACAATCATAAATTTTTCAAATTGCACCTAAAATTTTTGTCAACGTGCAATTTTGCACGTACCTAAAAAAAACTCAGATTTTGTACATTCCTTCCTCACCAAGGTTTGGTATTTCTTGCCTTTACAGTTTACAGAAAACAGTCTAGATGTTTGTGGAATAGTCCAAGTATCAGTCCAATCACCATGGAGATTGCATAGTTGGCTCTTCCATGTTAGGAGAAAGCCCTCTTCACTCGTGATACCTCCAAACAATCCTGGCATTGTTGGAAAGCTCATCTTTATTTAAAAGCAGAGCACTATATTTCTTTTAATGTGCTTTTTTAAAGGACATTTCCCACAACTATACCTGCAAATGTGAAAGTTTGCTATCGGTACTTTCAAATTGATAGTAATACTACTATTATAATTACTAACCACAAACTTATAACCATGGGCTTATTGAGTAAACAATATAAATAATCAATTCTAAGGTTTTAAAGCTTTTAAGATGACTGCTACATATGCTTTAAACCAGCAGCATATGGGCTGATCCATTACATTTAATCATTGATAACATAAACAAAGAAGTACAAAATACAAGTTTTGTATCCCTTTTCCTATTGCAACAGAGATGAGAATGACCTGAAGAGAAAATGATTCTACGTTTTCTTCACTTATCAAATAAAAAATTTATCCCAGGTTTATATTGGCAGGTTTTGCTACAGTACTAGAAACACATTTTTTCCTAGGGTCTGATATTCCTTATACTTGTATTCAGCATTCTATAAGTTCACAATCTTGTTCCGCCGCTCAGAACCTTTCAGCGTGCCACTAGGTTCTCTTCCAGTTCTCATCAATACACCGTTAACATACCTGTCTCCAAGTCATTTTACAACGTTACAACAGCTTCTTTCCCCGGACTGCAAAATTATGGAACTCTCTTCCAAGGTCCACCGCCATCTCCTGACATAACTACATTATACTCACATAAGTACCTCTAGCTCTTTGCCTAGAAGTGGCCAAAAATAATTGGTCTTGCATTGAGCGACACCGTTAAAGAAAAAAAATCATACAACTGATGAATATGTTACTTGAGTAACTCACGCGGTGTCCTGAAGAGATCCTCCAGCCTCCGTTTACTGGAAGAGCTCCTCCGGAGGCGAACCCTTCTCGGAGAGGTCGGGGTCCAGAATATCTCCACCGCCATCTTCTCACTGGTTGTGTCCGTACAGAGTTAACGTGGGAGGCTGCATGTTGACTGGATCGCACCTCGCCGCGGGTCCAGCCCTACTCTACCGTGACCAAGATGATCGTGTTTAAAACGCAGCGGTCATGGTTTTGGCTGTGTGTCAGACATGCAGATAACAGCATGCAGACTCAGCTAACTGTACCCAGTAAAGGGACGCTCCTGACCAGCTACCGAATTAGCAAGTATAATCAGGGACTGTCTGACACAGTTGACGGACTTGGCACACAAGTCAGGCCATACTGATTTCATTATATGGATAGCATCAACTGGGTACAGTACCTCAAAACTTATGTGTTTGAAAAAAAAATTGGGCAAAAAAGTTGCCTACATTATGAAATCTACATTGTACTTGGTAAGGAAGGTTGAACAAATGACTGTTCATACAGAGCATGGTGTACCCATTGATTGAACCTCCTTCGTATGTCAAATAACAGATTCTTTATGTATATTCTTTCACATCCTCTGTGACATTGAAAAACTTTGTGATGCAAGCAAGTGATTCAGGGCCTCTCTGGAAACTTCTTTTTTTACATTCACCAAAAATTTTTATTTTTTGGTAGCATTTGGAGTTTGGAATGTCTAGCAGCTTGTTTCTGCAACTGCAGCTAGGGTCATTAGTTTAAATGTGTTTTAAGAACAAGGATAACTCAAGAACCAATTGACAGATCATTGTGATTTTTAGTACATAAGTAGCTTGATATCATTAATTGACAATTATTGAAATCATGATCTAATTTGCATGATAAATGAAAAAGGAAATTCTTTAAATCTTTTTACCTTAGACCTTAGTTCCTCCTGTGCCGTATGGCACATCGGGCAGCAAGCTTCCACTTCTTTTTGTCAGCGGCCACTGTCTCCGCCTCCTCCCAGGGGATGTTTGCCCTTCTTAGATCGTCTTGGAAGGTCCTGCGCCAGGTGTGTTTCGGCCTTCCCCTCTTTCTTCTGCCGTTGTGGGGTACCCAAGTCATTGCTGTCTTAGAGTGCCTTCTGCTGGGCAGACGGAGGATATGTCCTGCCAGCTGCATCCTTTTGTCTGTGATGATGGTGCTCAGAGGCTTGGACTTGGCCCTGTTCAGGATCTCATCGTTCGTTATGTGATCCTGCCACCTCACCTTCAGTATCCTCCTCAGGTTTCTCTGGTGGAAGGCGTCTAGCTTTCTGGATGCTTTAGCTGTACATTTCCAGGTTTCGCTAGCGTAGATTGCAGTGGGTAGGACAATACTGTTGTATAGTCGGAGCTTGGTGTCAAGGTTGATGGTGGTTGCTGACCAGATGGAGTTCATCCGTCGGAACACGGAAGCTGCTTTCCCCACCCTACAGTTTAATGTCAGGCTCTACTTCTCCGCTGTTACTGATGACACTCCCAAGGTAGGTAAACTGATCGACGACCTCTAACCTGGCTGTTGTTGACAGTGATGTTCAGTCGAGGTTGACCTGTGTGGTTTCCCACCTCCATCGCCTTGGTCTTCTCCGAACTCACCCGTAGCCCAACTTTTCCAGAAGAGGTCTCCAGTTTCGTGGTAAGGTGCTGTAGGCCTTGGTTATTCTCGGACAACAGAGCAAGGTCATCTGCAAAGTCTAAGTCCGCAAGTCTGGACTCTTCCCTCCACCTAATGCCCTCCTTCCCGTCTCCAGTGGTCTTTCTCAAGACGAAGTCAATTGTGATCAAGAACAAGAAGGGGGAGAGGATACAACCCTGTCGGACCCCTGTGATGATGTTGAAGAAGTCTGTTGTCCCTCCCTCCGTTCTCACACAACACCTTGAGTTTTCATAGAGGCTCCTAAAGATCCTGACAAATCGGGCTGGTATTCCGTATGACAGTGCAATGTTCCAGAGGGTCTCTCTGTGGATACTGTCAAACGCCTTCTTGAAGTCAATGAAATTTAAAGCTAACGGTGTTTGGTGTTCCAGGCATTGTTCGATGATGTTTCGAAGGGTAAATATCTGTTCTGTGCAGGAGCGGTTGCTGCGGAAACCAGCTTGTTCCTCTCTTAACAGGCAGTCCACAGCTTTCTTCAACCTTCTGAGGAGTACTGCGCAGAATACCTTTCCAGGGATGGATAACAGAGTGACTTCCCCGCCAGTTGTTGCAGTTGGAGAGGTCTCCTTTCTTCGGAAGCTTCACAATAACTCCCTCCTGCCAGTCCCTAGGAACCTGCCCCTCTTGCCAACAGCGGTTCATCAGCCTGGTCAGCATTTCCACTGTACAATCCCCTCCATGCTTAAGCATCTCAGCCGAGATTTCGTCCAGTCCTGCTGCCTTGTTACTTTTCATCGCTTTAATGGCCTCCTCCGTTTCCTCTTTCCTGACTGGTTCCTCGCAGACATCCAACTGCTCTGCTGTTTCCTCTGTACCAAAGTCATACAGGGTGTCCGGGGTTGGTTGATTCAGCGTTTCCTGGAAGTGTTCAACCCACCGTTGGTCTTGCTCTTCTGTAGTTAACAGTGTCTTTCCGCTCTTGTCTTTCACTGGTACACTCGAGTTGTTCCAGTTTCCAGAGAGCTCCCTCACCAGACGGTACAAGGTCCTTGAGTCGTTTTTCTTGGCTGCCTCCTCAGCCTCTGCGCTTTTCTTGTCTAACCAGTGTCTTTTGTCTGCACGGCAGCTCTTCTTTACTTGGCGGTCAAGGTCACGGTACTGGTGGTCTGTTTGTTCTTTCTCTTCCTCGGTCTTTGCTCTATCTCTGAGCCCCTTTGTCTTCTTCCTTTCGTCAATAAGTTCCCAGGTGTGCCCCTGTATCCATTGTTCCTTCCGTGAACCACGCCTTCTCCCAATGGTTTCCTCTGCGCTCTTTGTGACTGTTTCCTTAAAGAGTGCCCACTGGTCTTCCAAGTCCGGCCCCATGTCTTGAAGCAGCTGGAATCTGTTCTGGAGTTCGAGTTTGTACTGTTGACTGACCTCAGGGTCCTTGAGCTTCTCAGCTGCATACGGCTTCACTTTCTTCTGCACTGTGAGCTTCTTCAGCCTTAGCCTCACCCTTGCTCCCAGCAGATGGTGGTCTGATCCCACGTCTGCACCCCTGAATACTCTGACATCGAGAAGTGATGACCTCCAACGTTGGTTTATGCAAACGTAGTCTATCTCGTTTTGCGTTGTCCCATTTGGTGATCTCCATGTCTTCTTGTGTATCACCTTATGTTGAAAGTAGGTATTTCCGATGTTGAGGCTGTTGATGTTGCAGAACAACAAAAGACGTTCCCCGTTGTCACTAGTTTTCTGTGCTGTCCCAAACGGTCCAACGACACCATCAAACCCTTGTCTGTTGCTATCAATTTGGGCATTAAAGTCTCCCATCAAGATTTTCACGTCATGGCTAGGGATGTTGTCAAAGGTGTCCTGTAACTGTTCGTAGAAGTCGTCTTTGTCCACTTCATCAGCATCTTCAGTTGGTGCATATACCTGGACAATGGTAGTCTTCCCATGTCTCGACTGAAAGCGTGCTGTGATGATCCGGTCATTGACAGGCTTCCAACCAGTAAGAGCTCTGGAGGCTTCTTTATCCAGTACCATGCCCACTCCACGGCGGTGTTGGTCTTCATGTCCGGAGTAAAGGACTGTCTTGCCATCGCTACACAACTTCCCGCTACCCGTCCATCTCATCTCGCTGATCCCTAGAATGTTCAGTTGGTACTCCTCAAACTCTTTCAACAACTGGGCCATCTTCCCAGTCTGGTACAGTGTTCTCACATTCCATGTTCCAATTTTCGTTTCCCCCTTGGCACTCAGAAACTGGCACATCGGGTCTCTAACTTCCTTGCGGCTTTCATTAGAGGCCGTCACTGTGGATTCTAGTCCACTGCCATCTTCCTTGCGCCGATCCCTCTGGTTTCCACTTGCTGTTTCTGTAGCAGGTTTTTGTTTTACTGGGTTGGGGTGCTAACCCAACGCCAAACTCCCTCTATCGAAGGAGGTACAGGTCGGAACTGCTAATTAGTACCTCCCTGGTGTCGTAAGCCCCCCGAAGGTTACAGGTCTCCCATGCACCAGACCCAGGCAGGACACCAAGTCGGAACAAGCTGCTACACCTCGGCAAGGTTACACAGTTCCTTATCCTGGTGGGGTGAGGGCCCCCAGGATCGTAGCATCTGTTGGACCAAAATTGACGCATGCATGTATGGATGTCATCCATGTAAAACAATAAGAAGATAATGTGGCCAATAGTCTTCAACACACAATCACGCAGCATACGCAGCTAAAACAAGAACATTTGTCTACAGAAGTATGAAAACGTACAACACGCTGCCTCCTCACATGCTCACCGAAAACGCACGCACATTTAAAGTAAATATCAGTCAACTATGTAAAAAGTACGAGCACATGCGTGGTAAGACACATGGAGCACAGGTGTACCTCTGACCTCTCCACAACTTGTATATTTGCTGTTGTTAGAAGTATAAGTAAATTTAATAAGTAGTTACTGTTACTTAGTAATTTTTATTGTTCTTGTTAAGCAATTGTTATGTATAATGTTGTTGAATCTTTTGTAACTATTAAGTTGATAATTGTATGTATTCTATTATGTGAAAGGACTCCAGGAAGATTAGTATACACAGCTTGTATAACTAATGGAGATTCCCAATAAACAAACAAACAAACAATACTGCATAATAGCTCTGTCTATGTACAAAGGGAGTAATTAATTATAATAAGAGTCGAAGTACAACTAGAAAAGTAACATTTGCAGGCAAATACAAAATGTTTATCCATACATGGTCCAGCCTACACAATATAACATTATAATCATGATGAAAATAGAAACAAAACACTGCTGTGTTTGTTCTCTCTCAAAATAGTTGAACTAGCCTGAAACCACCTTGCTACAAACACCAACACCAGCAGTAACCATGCTGACTGCCAACACACTGACAGTGTCTCCTGCAGCCTGCTGACCTTAGGCCACACAAATTTCATTTCTTGGTTAACGGATTTTTCTAGAAAAGTAATGGAGCGGGCGGGCGAAAAAAATAATAAAAACAGGCCTAGGCATCCTATTATGGCCCAAAATGGTAAGATAGGAGCCATGAAGTCAACACACCACGCTGGTTCAAAATTTAAACAATGAATTTTGAACTTTTAATGATACCATTGCATTGAAAGATGGAATAACTGTAACAAATAGAATAAAAAGGACTGTTTTCAACTGTTCAGGGCAAAATATGAGCATTTTGCAGTTGATTCTGAATTTTTATTTTTATTTTGCAAATCAGAAAAAAATGGAGCGGGCGAATCCGTTAACCAAGAAATTAAATTGGTGTGGCCTTATTTAACCTTACTGGAGGAAGACACTGATGTAAAACAATATGTTTCACTCATGTGAGGGTAAACATAATAAATCATTTCTGAAGTTGTAGTTTTATTTACAAAATAGACAACTGCTCATTAAGCGACATTTGATCCGAGAGGAAGAATTGCAAGAATGGCAAAGACTCACCATGATTCAATTATTTAACCCTAGCTGACAGAAAAAGTTACAGTGGTTCAGACATGTGTCTAGGGCCAAAGGCACACTGTCACATACAGTTCTTCCTTGTAAGGTGGAAGGCGCACGGCCGCGAGGACGTCCCCATCGGTCATGGATTACAGACGTAAAGGAGTGGGTGGGTGGGTGGGTGGGTGAGTGAGTGAGTGAGTGAGTGAGTGAGTGAGTGAGTGAGTGAGTGAGTGAGTGAGTGAGTGAGTGAGTGAGTGAGTGAGCTGACACACCTACCTCAGGTGATTTTTGTCCCTCCTTATTTTGTTGTAGCAGACTATGGAGTAGAGGAGCTGTCTATTGCCATCCTGAGTTCTCCATTCTAGGATATTTGCAGGGCAGCCTTCTAGCAGATACTGCAGACTGCAGATATGGACTTTGGAATGCTGAAATCTGAAAAATATGTACCGCTGACATGTAATTCTAGACTATTCTAGACTAGACAATGTAACGCAAGGTTACCAGTTTACGTGCAGGACCAGTTTACGGTCAGTTAGTGACACAACTGCACTTCGAGGTGTATCATCCAAAAATCAATGGTCGTGAGCAACAAAGAATAACATGAATATGATCCTTATGTGTCTTTTATTTATTCACTGCATGGGAGTAAGTTTGCATTAAGCGACACAACAGAGTATCTTTCGATATGACGGGACAGCAAGGTAACATAGACTTGGACGAAAGTGTTTGTTTATGTGTGCTTATAAGTACAGTGTACAAGAACAAAGGTCCAAGTGACCGTTAATTGGTCACCCTAGAGCAATTCTCTGCTGTTAACTACTAAATATTAAATAAAAGCTGGCACGGCACACATTTTTATAACTGGCAAACTACTGTTTCTGCCCACGCGTTTTCACAAAAAATGGAATTTTCCATAATTTGACCGTAAACTGGTAACCTTGCGTTAGACTATTACATAGTATACATCACAATTATGTATATGTCAGGATGGAGACCTGAACTGGTAGAATTAGAAGTTCTACTGGTAGAGACCCAGATCAGAGTCTTTGTCAAGAGAAACTCTGATCACAGTCTCTAATCTGACATAAACATTATTGACAAAATATTACGCACTGCTGATAACCTAGAATTCAAATTAATAACTTTATTTGGATCCAAATTACCTTCAGCTTATCCTTTTACTTGTTCTTCCTAACTAGTCTAGTCCTCACATTTCAAGTACAAGACAGGGTGACTACAAAATAACAATCATACACTAGAGAGGCCGACATTTGCTTGGGAGCAAATACAGCATATTTCAGTCCATCTCCCTCCCACGCAAAAGTGGACTATTCCAAACTTACCCCAGTGTAAAACTGGCAAAGATTCTCAAATAAATGAATTATATAGTAGCTATGTAATTGAGAACAAAGATGCAAGAGTGAACATTGAACATTGAATTAACATTGAATCTCGGAAGCTTTACTAATCTTATTACAGGTATGCAAATACTAGCAATGATGAGATTTGATACATTTTTAAGGTCTAAGGCACATAAAATTGAATGTGTGGGTCATTATGCACGACTTACGTGCAATGTGACCCCGGGTAACCCGCAATGGAATACGTGTTCCATGGCCAATGGCAGATGGAACGGGGCATTCTTTAGATAGAACATGGAACGGGTATAGCACTTTTGGCCCTTTTTTTGCTGAAAATAGCCATTAAAGTCCCCCAAATGAGTCATTTGGAAGTGGTGTATGCCAAATATGTGACTGCTATTCTGTAGACACATGTTCAAAGTACCCTCATACCAAATTTCAGATCATTTGGTTGTAAAACCAGGGCTCAGGATCCAAAAATTCATATTTTGGCGAAAAATGCCAAAAAAAAACTTCATAAAAATTTTTCAAAGGCATGTATCAAAAAAATGAAAAAAAGACCTGGGGGTATTGGCCCACTCTACCTCCATGCCAAATTTCAAGTAATTTGGCTGAATGATGGCGGAGTTGAATCCCTTTGACTCTTTGGCAGGAGAAGGAGGAGGAGAAGAAACATGAGAGAACACAATATATTTCATCCATACCATGGTATGGACTGAAATATAATTATCATGAAAGTTCATCTGTGTTGGTAGTAATCATATTAAAAAGTTGAACTTTATTCCAACACACAGTTTACAGAGAGATCAAATTTTCAGCGACCACTGTCGCCTTCATCAGGATAATTAATGACCAATCACTTCACAACGTGATCTCGCGAGAGTTACGGTTTACAAACACGTGACCTTATTCACACGGGGTCGGCTCTATGTTACGACAGCTCTATGTTACGACAGCCCTATGTTACGACAGCTCTATGTTACGACAGCCCTATGTTACGACAGCCCTATGTTTTGACGCCCCCTTTTTCAACGCGATTATGGCTATGTTCAGACACCTAATCATAAATTGTAAATGTATTGAGTGTAATGATCTCGAAGGAAATGTTCACGTAATATAATGTCACTGAAAAAAAAATCAATACTTTTCTTGTAGGATCGTTAGTTTTATGGGAATATTTCAACTTTACACTCTAACTTTATTGACCTCTTAAATTAAGTGTGCGACATTAACCGCCAGCCCGAGTCTAAAACATAAAAAAAACCCGCAGATCTAGTCGGGTAGGTAGGGTTCTCCATTGCTCGGTGATCGTTATAGATAAGCAAATAATTTTCTTATTTGCCGAAACACCCGTGATTCAGGCGTGGTAAAGTCGGTCGGCCAGCGAAACGTTCTTGGTATTTGTCCGCGGGCAAGGGTGATGCGGTTTTGTCGCCTGATGACCCAAATAGCTTCGTTCTATATACAATTTCAATGGATTTGCGTCACCGGAGATTGCGGAAAACTTATCACAACAACCTATACTTTTAAAAATTTTTTTATAAGCTGTTACCCAGAGAAACTTCGTTCAGGACGAACATAGGTGCGTCGTAACTGTAACACCGAATGTAAATAGTGTAAATATGTAAATAGTGGGAATTGTATGTAGCCTTCATATAAGGCGTCACTGACTGGGTAGCGGTCTGCGACGCTGGTTCTGGACGGATTGTTGGGAGTGTCATTTGGCACGCCGCGGGTTCGGTCCCGGCCCGTGAATCAACATCCGAGTTTTTCCGAGTTTCTATTCCCTGATCCTGCGTTACATAACATAAGGCTGTCGTAACATAGGGCTGTCGTAACATAGGGCTGTCGTAACATAGGGCTGTCGTAACATAGGGCTGTCGTAACATAGGGCTGTCGTAATATAGGGTATGAACCATTCACACAAGACTTAACTGATACATGAC